CTGAGTTTGATCTGCCTATTTTGCATGTCCTGTGATCACTGTGCCACTGCAGAATCACAATCAACATTTATAAACTCTAAAAAGTCTATTCAAATACACAATTGCCACCCTCCTGAACTCACCAGAGCAAACAAGTCCTGCATCGTCCCTGTGAGAGCACAGCACTCCCCCCAAGGCAGATGTTGCACACAGAGATAAGTGAGCCTCACTGCCATCACAGAGGAAATGATCTTTCCACACTGAGCCCTCTCTCTCTCCAAACCAGGCCTGTCCTGGAGCGGCTACAGCCACCCCACAGCCCAGCTGTCGGCAAAGAACACTGGCGTCTCTCGGGTCCCAGTACTGGTCACACACTGTCCCCCACTTGCTGTCGTACTCCAACTCCACTCGGCCAGAGCAGGGGTTCGAGCCATTTGCCAGTCTAAACCCTGTGTATCCTAAAAGGAGAAACAACAGGCAGAGTGAGACTCATTGTGAAGGAAAGGAACTATGTGTGGAACTGGCCACTCCTTTGGGCTCAGTTACAGGTCTGTATAAAAAGCCAGGAGGAAACGGGTCTTGGTTTGTGTGTGGGAAGGAGGGAGAGTGAGAGCTGCATGAGTAATTCTGATTAGTGATTGCTGTTTCAGGAACATGTGAAATGCATTGTTAAAGACCCTGTGTGACAGGTATAATCCGGAAGTGACTGAAGTTAGCCATCACGGAAAACATAGCAAGTAGGAACACAGGGGTGTGATGACGACAGTCCAAAAGGAAGTCCAATGGGGGAAATCAGGGCACAGCCTGAGGTCCAGGTGCAGGGAGATCCATCCGAGACTAACACAGAAAATAGGGAATGAGGAATACGAATAGTTACGAAAAGCATAACGGGACAAGGTTCTCCGAGCCCTGGACTCAGTAGGTCAGGAACTCCAGAATAAAGGCCATGCACTTGGACTGCTCCTGTGCCTGGTGGATAGGCGGGCTTAAAAAGAGAAAAAGGAATAAGACACAGCTAGGAGAAATAAAACTGGAAACACAACAAAAACGGTAGGAGCGCCCTCTAGAGAAGGGATGACGACCGTGTCAGTGAACTCAGTGTGGCTTGAGAAGATACAGCTTCAACTGCATCACAGGTGCTGGAC